GTTCCATTTTTTTTTTTTAATATATGAAGAATATGGGGTGAAGGGGAGGGGTGGATGGAACACACTGTTCAGGAAGAGGCAGAGTTCCAAAACCTCGATTGACTGATGAAATGTTCAAGCATAAAATTCGAGTGGTTATGTTGCCACCTTTCAGTTATTCATTATTTAGTAAAAACAAATGTGGTTCAAAGTCTAGCAGTTAGCTTGATTACTTTTCTGAACCCCAGCAGAGAGACAGACTTTCTCCTAACAATCTGTTCCAAAATGCTTTGAAATACACCAGGAAAGGGACATTTCAGCAAGCACCTCCACACTTCAGAAATTATTCAAATGAAGAAAGTGGCCCAAGAACCATGACCCAGCCCAGCGCATTTTACCGCCTGAGGTGGGCACCGCCCCCCTCACTAAATTAAAATACATAGTAGCCAAGGCCAGATATTTTGGCATGCAAGGCAGACAATCCTCACAAGCACCATTCCTCTTTCTTGGCAGTACAAATAAAATAAAGAATACAGCAATGAAAAAACTGAAGAACTAACAATTTCCTGCCATTTCATGGCACCCAAACTCTGCTGCCCGAGGTGTCCGCCTCACTCTGCCCAAAGATAGGGCCAGCTCTGCAGAGAATAGACCAGGGATGAACAAATCTGTCCATTTCAGTTTCTCATTTTTCCACTCTGAAATTGAGTTTTCCACATTTCTGCAGTACTTTGGAAACTAATAATAGTAATAAGGTAAAGGGTAAAGGGACCCCTGACCATTAGGTCCAGTCACGGACAACTCTGGGGTTGCAGCGCTCATCTCGCTTTATTGGCTGAGGAAGCTGGCTTACAGCTTCTGCGTCATGTGGCCAGCATGACTAAGCCGCTTCTGGCGAACCAGAGCAGCACACAGAAACACCGTTTACCTTCCCACCGGAGTGGTACCTATTTATCTACTTGCACTGGCATGCTTTCGATCTGCTAGGTTGGCAGGAGCAGGGACCGAGCAACAGGAGCTCACCCCGTTGTGGGGATTTGAACCGCTGACCTTCTGATCGGCAAGCCCTAGGCTCTGTGCCACCTGCGTCCCAGTAGTAGTAGTAGTAATAATAATAATTCAAATCCTTATGAAAATTTGTCAGCTTGTTACTGCAAATTCCTCCTTTCTCCTCCTTACTTTTCATGCAGTTCTGACCAACATCACATGTTTTAGAAACAGCTTTGCAAGGAATTGGGCAGTGCCAGGCTGATAGAGCTTTGCTCTCATCGGACTGCCTCTTGCATATGGAAGCCCATGTAATTACATGCAGATTTAGGTGCAAAAAAAGAAGGTGTGTTGAAATGACATCCCGACCCAAAGGAGGAGGGAGGAAAGGGAAATGGCTCGTATCTGGAGGGCCACAGCCAGCCAGTGCACACAGTACTGAGCAAGATAATTATCCGTGTCCATAGCATAAACCAACTCTTTATTCAAAGCCACAAGGAGATGACGCTTGCTTAACTTAGCTCAGTGGTAGAGCACATGTTTGGGGTACAGAAGGCCCCTGGTTCAGGGCTGGCCCACCCATGAGTCAAGGTGAGTCAGCCACTTCAGGCAGTGGAAGCCCATGTGGCAGTGCCCCCCATTGGGTCCCCCACCTACCCTGCTGCCTCCACCACTGGCAGAGAAGCAGTGCTGGCAGTGCTGGTGGTTTCTGGTGAGATCTCATGAAACTTTGCCAAAATCTCGCGATTTTGAGCAAGATTTTCTATGAGCTCTATGAGCTCTCATGAGATTTCCCATTTTGCCTCAGGCAGCGAAATGAGACACGACACCCTTGCCCAGGTTCAATCTTCAGTGTCTCCATCTAGGACTGGGAAAGAGACTCCCTTTCTGAAACCCTGGAAAGTTGTCGCCAGCTAGTGTAAACTAAGGATGGGAAGCTTGTGGAGTTGTTAGACTACAGCCACCATCATCCCTGGCCAAGCTGCCCTCTGGGACTGATGGCAGATGGAGTCCAACAAGGCGCCCCACTCTTGGTGTAGGCAATATGGTGGTAAGTGGACCAATGGTCCAACTCAGTATAAGGCAACTTCCCACATTCCTTTCCATTGCCTCATCTTATGTGCTGTCCTTTTGTGAGGATCCTGATGGATCTCCCACTTTTACAGGACAACATTTCCAAGACCTTTTGGTGAGAAGGAAGAAACCGTTCTCTGGTTTACAGATTTTGAACCTGTTTGGGGTTTTTTCCCCATTCTGCAAATGGAACAAAGATTTCAAAAAGAAAAAAGATGTCAGCCATAACACTGAAGCAGCAGAGCTCAGGCTGAGTCAAGATATAAATCGCCCAGGAGCCATTGCCCATGACTTGGGCCCATTTCAAGTTCCTGCTGAACATTTGGGCCATAAGTCACATCCTGCCAACTTGCCTCTTCTCTTTAAATTGGAAAATAACTTACACAAGAGATGGACCCTTGGACTGCTCTTCATTCTGAGAAGAGGATGTGGCATTTCTCTCCCCTGTGGGGGGAAAATAGTTGATTGAAGTCTTCATAAAAATGATTTGATGGAAACAACTTCCTCAGTGGCAGCAAGATCATTAATGATGGAGCACAACCACCCACACCCTACCATCTCCAGATTATCTTTGGCCACCCCTTTGTCTCAGTCACCTCCCTGCTAGATTGGCAACTGGACTTCCTCTCTTTGCCTTCCTTTGGGGTTCCCGGCTTTTGGGAAAAGGCTGCAGCTCAGTGAAAACCACTTACTTTTCATTCAGAAGGTCCCAGGTTCACATCCTGCAGGTTCAATCTCCAGAATCTCCAAGCTGGATTCAGAAAGGCACCTGTCTGAAATACAGGATAGCCACTGCCTGTCAGAGTAGAAAATACTGAGGTCGATGGAGCTATGACCATAGCTCACTGATGGGGAAATTGGGCTGAAGCCATTCCCTCCAGGTCTTTGATAAGCTAATCACAATTAGCGTTTGTTCCCCCAACACACACACACACACACACACACACACACACACAACTTGTGTGTTTACCTTGTTCAAAATGGACTGGAATATTTTTTGCTCTCTTTCAGCTGTGATGCAATCGCATGAGTGCCCCAAAGGTTTACAGTAATTATTCCTTCCAGAGATAGTTTGGCAGCTCCCATGGCTAACTTTTCCCCCATGCATAGCAATTGCACCATGGCAGAAGGACAATTTATTTCCCAGTGACCCTGGCACAGCAACATCCGATTGACCTGGAGTTCTCTTGGCTTGCTTCTTCAGCCGTGCAAGCCTGATGGTCTATGTGGGAAATGGCATAGAATAAACAGAGAGAAAATAAAATGAATACCCAGCTGTTTGGGGTTTGCAACTAAACTGTGCTGAGCAACTGGGTCTGCCCAGTGGAGCAATCAAGGCAGAGCTCAGCTTGACTCTCTTCTTCTCCTCATAGAGGTTAAGACTATCAATGGCTATTAGCCACAGTGGTCATACTCTACCTCCACTGTTGGAGACAGTATAAGTACCAGTTATTGGGAATCACAAGTGGGGAGAGTGCTGTTGCTTGCAGGCTTTCCAGAGGCATTCAGGACCCAAGTACCTAAAGGCTCTCCTCCTCCCAATATTAACCATCATGGACCAGGTAGGGGAAGTCCTGTTGGTTGTGCCACCTCTAGCTACTACCTGGTTAGCATTTACCCATGACAAGACCTTCTTGGTGGTGGTTCTCCATCTGAGGGATGCCCTCCCCAGTGAGGTGTCTTCATCTCCTTTACTACTGACATTCAGGAGAAATTTAAGAACATTCCTGCTTGCTCAGGCATTTGATGATTGGCAGATACTGACTGTGGCAACCATGAAATTAATAGCTGTCTTAAATGTTTTTGATGGTTTTAAATTGCTTTTAGATGTTTTAGATATGTCTGTGTATTTTTTTATATTCGTACTCATTTAGCATTTTGATGTTTGCCACCTGGGCTCCTTTGCGAGGAAAGGGCCAGATGCAAATTCAATAATTCAATAAAATCTGATTGGCCACCGTGAGAAAATAATGTAGGATGGGATGGGCCATTGGGCTAATCCAGCAACCAGACTTTTCTTATGTTATTTTGTTCTTATGTGTACCAATTGTTTCCAGTAAGTAGGCGTTGGAACTGACCCATCAGATGTTTCGGAAGACTCTATTAGACACCACATATACAACATGAAAATAACTTTTAGCCATGTCATCTTTGCAAGTGTTTTTCTATTGCTGAGAAATTACAGGCCAGTTTCTGGGACACGAGGATAAGAGTGGCTGCCAGTCTCCTCCCTTGCATTGGCTTCAGAGATGAAGCATTGGCTTCAGAGATGTCCAGCTGGGAGACAGCATACAAATAAATTCAGCACCATGGACAGCATACTCAAAAACCTGTGCTGCTTTGCTGTACAAAGATACTGAGGCTGTGTGCACTGCTGATGCTTCTCAAAAAAATAATCATCATAGTGAGTTAATACCTTTATTAGGATCAGCTGAAGTGCCATAAAGTAATAAACAATATTTTGTGTTCCCAGGAACTCATTTCAGGCTGATTGTTAAGCAGAAGATGGTAGAGGAGAAAACCAAGTCCACACGTTTCAGGAATGCTGGAGAGCTCAGAAGCTTTCTTGCCATTTTGTACCATTTTAATTGGTCCTAATAAAGATTTTATCTCATCTTCATAGTGCAAAAATAAAAATAAAATAGAGAGACATCAAAGGATGTTCCATTTTCCAAATGGTATGTAGAATGGTGAAATTAAGGACAGGTGGTTCTGTTCCAATCCATTTCCATGGTAGTTATCTCCAAAGTATGCCCACATCCCATTTTTGCGTGGATCCTTTTTTAAGATAATTGCAGAGGAATAGTACAAAACAATACAAAAACCACACAGTCCAATTTCAAACACAAAATTTAGGACGACTTACAAAGCTGCCAATTGGTACATCTTGCTCAGTATTTTATGCCCTGACTGGCAACAGCTCTCCAGAATTTCAGAGAGTGTTTTATCCCAGCCCCACCTAGAGCTGCTGGGGATTGAACCTAGGACCTTCTGCATGCAAAGCAGATGCTCTACCACTACAGAACCCATCTGCAACTGAGCTACTGCCCTCCCATGTGTACTGTGGGATGTACTGTCTCCCAACCCCTCTTGCTTTCAACATTGTAAATCTTCTTGGAGCAAATAGCCCCATAACATCTCTAACTCCTGCAAGAAGCGTAACACTCAAAATGCATCTTCGTTTGGGAGGGAGGAGTTTATTGTCTCCAGTGTTTATTGACCCATTGCAAGCCCTTCCCTCTCTGGTGTCTACTTTTTAAGTTTTAGGAAATATTTTATTGAATTATGTTGCAGGATCATTGTTATGTATGCACATTTACTATTGTGCAGCCAAGAAGGAAAGGAGACAGGAGATACCCTTTAGGAGTGAGACTGACTAGCACTTGCTTTGCATTTCTGCAACCTTTGCAACAGTCCTGTATAGTAGGCCTGTATTATTATTATTAAGGGATGCGGGTGGCGCTGTGGGTTAAACCACAGAGCCTAGGACTTGCCGATCAGAAGGTGGGCGGTTCGAATCCCCGCGATGGGGTGAGCTCCCGTTGCTCGGTCCCTGATCCTGCCAACCTAGCAGTTCGAAAGCACATCCAAGTGCAAGTAGAAATTTAAAATTCAATAAATATTATTTTAAAAAAACAACAACAAGTAGATAAATAGGTACTGCTTCGGCGGGAAGGTAAACGGCATTTCCGTGCGCTGCTCTGGTTCGCCAGAAGTGGCTTAGTCATGCTGGCCACATGACCCGGAAGCTGTACACCAGCTCCCTCGGCCAATAAAGCAAGATGAGCGCCGCTACCCCAGAGTCGGTCACGGCTGGACCTAATGGTCAGGGGCCCCTTTACCTTTATTATTATTATTTTCTCCACTGAGCGGAGATTATAGCTAAGCAGAGATTACAACCAAGGGTTAATTGGCTCTCTCTAGGAGCAGCCAAGAATTTGCCCACCACTAAATCATCTCACATTGTCCTCCAATTAACAGAGTTTGTATCGCCTCAATGATGGACTAAACACAACGGCAGTAACTTCTTAGCGCATGAAGCATCTTCTGTTTGAATGTCAATTTCCTTTCAGCATCCCATCAGAGGGGGAAAAATATTTCTCTACCCTTCTGAGCCATACTTTACTTTTCTTCTTTTGTGCTTCAAACAACAGCAACAACAGCCCTTAAGATGAAAAACTATTTACAGATTGTGCCGCCTGCTTTTGAACGCACACTCTTTGGAAACTTGAGCTGTTTCTTTCCAGTTGAAGCTGTCAGCATCAGTGCTTGTAAAGTGCTGTTTGAAATACACTCTTGAATGGGTTGGGAGTGGTTTGGCATTTCGGTCCTGCTCGTAAATATTTGGTTTCAAATTCTTTGAATTTAATCAATGCCATCTTAGGGTATAGCGCATCAGTTGCAGGCTGATTTATTTTATTTAATTTAATAAAATCCCTTGGAAGGTAACAGTGTTGAGGGAAGTGGAAACAATTTGGGGTGGGGGTGGGTCTGGCTGCTGTTTGCCTCTATACTGATGTGCCATCTTGCCGATATTCCTCAGCCTTGGGTCTCTTTCTCAAGGGTAAAATTTGAGACAAATTGCATTATAAACTGACCTTCTTGAGTACTGCAGCTACCTTTGTCTTGTTCAGATTAGGCAGGACTGGGGTGGGATGTTTTACACCCACTCACCTCTGGTAAACCTTCCAGAGGCCACTTACTACAGGTGGGCTGGGCCAGAGGCAAGTGCTGGCATAGCAATAAACATGAATATTACTTTTATAGGTTAGTTTCTACAGGAGCTCATAGATCCCTCTCTATCCTCCATCCAGACAAGCAAGAAACATTCTCAAAGTTCCAGGACACATCCCAGCCAGGCAAAAACACACAAGGAGGCTGTGAATCAAGGCAAAAGAGGAGCATGGCTCTGGGGACAGTTGTGAGGGCCATAGAGAGAGGTCTGGAGGGCCGTATTTGTTGCCCAGACCTGAGGTTTTCTGGTTGATGGAGAAAGAGGGGGAAGTAAGGGATGAACCAAGAATGAGAACAATAGCAGGCAAAAATGTTTGACAGAAAGCTGTCAAGCAGGAGAGGGCAGACCTCAAGCTTGTCAAGTCTACTATAGTTTTTACTTGAATCCCAAGAACCAGGTGCCAAAGATACCATTAGCATCCAGGAACATGGTGCCTCTGAACATGCTCAAAGCCTAGGTTTTCATTGGAGCTTTTTAAACAAAGGTTGGGTGGTTGTCTGTCGGGGACTCTTTAGCTGTTATTCTTGCAATCCAGGAGGTTGGACTAAGTAACCCTTGGCGGGTAGCAATATTATCAATTTCCGATGGGGCTGAAGGTTCACTAGCTATGAAGGACTTGCTCACAAATTTATTGACAGCTGCACGAGTTATTATAGCTAGGAAGTGGAAGGGGAAAGCAGATTATAATATGGAAGAATGGTATAAAGAGGTGTGGGATATAGCTATTAATGATAAATTAACACATGCCATTAAGGTAAGACGAGGAATATGCTGGAGAAATTATTTTGAGGAGATATGGAGGGTGTTTGTAGAATTTGCACTGTTAAAATGGAAAGGAGTCAAACCATCGCAAGAGGTGTTGAAATTTTGGGAGGTTGGATACTTACAATGGTATGGTCTCGGTGGTGGGCTGCAGATTTTTTTTTAAAGCACCTTGGAGTCCCTTCCAACTCTACAGAGCTACAGAGCTTCTAAATCAGTCTACGGTGCCAGAACAGCCCTTTCACATAGAAGTCCATTCCTGTCCAGATTGGTTGCCTTCTCCTTTGCAGCCTGACCAAGGTGGCGAATGTTGCTGTTTCTGTTGCTACACAAGTGGGAGGCAAAATCTTTTACTGCAAATCACTCTGGGCTACCGGTGGATGAATACCACTCTACTTTCCGCCCACCCCTGTTCTATAATCATACCAATTTTATAGCAGTTGAACGGTTGTGGTTCTCCCCCCCTCCCCCGAACTGGTGGGAGACTGCTGAGATGTCTCTGTGACAGATCCTGAGCCCTATGTTCCTTCAAGAAAGCCCCAGTTCCCAGAGTTCCTTGGGCAGAAGGAATGATTACTGAATAAAACAAAACCAAAGTCTTGTAGCACTTTAAAGACCAATAAACTATTACGGTAATTTTTTTATGGGCTGCGGTCTACTTTCTTTGATGCCCAGGAATGCTGGTGTGCTTGGCTCCTGCTTGTGGACTTCCTTTGGGGGAATCTAGTTGGCCACTGTGAGAACAGGATGCTGAGGTAGATGGACCACTGGCCTGATCCAGCAAGCTCTTCTTATGTTCTTACATGTTATCCTGAGTTGCTGGTGTGTTGTATATGAATGTGTGTATTATATATATGCACATAGATAGTTGGGGGTTGTAAAAAAGAGTGAAGTCAAATGGACATGGAATGTAAGAAGACTGATAATTTTGTTACTGACAGTGGCAGTCCACAAAACAGTAGCAGATATGGACATTCTCCTAGCATTGGGAAGCCAGTAACACAACGCTTTGTTGCAGTTCAAGCCACAGAAGACAGAGGTGAACCTCTAAATTCAGCAGTTTCATGTTGCAATCTGCTTTTGATGTTCTATCTTTTAAGGTAAGTTACTGAGTGTCCTTGGAGGCTGAAATTGTCATTTCTGATTTTAGATTTGCATTTCTGTGTGTGTGTGTGTGTGTGTGTGTGTGTGTGTGTGTGTGTGTCCTATGTAGAATTTAGAAGGGCATGCTTGGCAGATGATGACATATATCAAGTTAAGAGATGAGCAGCTGAGCGAACCCCTGCTGGCAACAGCCATATGCACTTTAAACCTCCAGTTTTTGAAGGTTTGAAGAATAAAAGAGCACACTGCAGTCTGAAACTCCAAAAAAAAAACCAGGTTCAAAGAGCAGCACCAGCTCTTTGCAAAAGGGCTTTCTGCTCTACACCACACCTTGACATTCCAGCCTCCGGGCTTCAAAATGCAGTGTCATTTGATGTCACTTTTATATCAGGTGATAGACAAGTGAGTGGCCCTCCAGGGGTGGAGAGCCAGAAAACGCTCCCCAAACACGCTGTCAATTATTGACGATTATAGCTGAACAGCCAATAAAGCTCCTCTTTCCCAAAACCTGTGTGTTAGGCCTCTACCTGCTGGGACAAATAGACTCATAGAACTGCAGAGCTGTAAGGGACCCAAAGGGTTATCCAGTCCAACCCCCTGCAATGCAGGAATCTAAAATTGAGTCCAGTGGTGCAGGTTAGGTTAAGTCTGTGGTGGGTTAGACAGCTGATTTATGATGAGGCCAGAGAGAGCAGCATTTCCCCCCAATGACAGATGAACTGCCAACAGATATAATATTGGAGTTACTCCTATTCTTGAGTTATTAAGAAACAATCTTTCTTATTGATTACGTGGCAGTGATAAATCATCGGCAAAGCTGTGCTCTTATGACCGCCCTCTAATTTCTGTGAAACACAATACCCTGGAACCGCAGTTCTATATTTACACAATTGTCTGCTTCATAAATATGCATATTCCGTCCTCTCCCGTACCAAACAATGGAATAGGCATAATTCGCTGCCTCGGGTGAAAAAGCATTTGTTTTGTGGTTCCACCTTGCTCAGAAGTGCAGATTAAATCTATTTGGAGAAAAATACACCTTTGTGACCCACTGAAAACTTCTCCCTTGCAAGAAGTCAGGCAGCAATTGTCAGGTAGAGCATCTGCTTTGCTTGCAGGAGGTCCCAGGTTCAGTCCACAATGGCAACTCCTGGTAGGGCTGGGAAAGGAGAAACCACAAAAATGAATTTCTGGGTCTGCTCAATTCTGCTGCTTATATATCCTGACCCTCAGTCAGTCTATCCGTCCCACTCTCCCTCTACAAATTCTATAAGCATTCGTTCTGCAAATGCTATAAACTTACTCTTTTTTCTTTTTCTTTTTTAAAGAAAGCTGGAGAGCTGGAGATTATACAGTGTTCTGTACAGTACATTTCTTGGAGAATGTGCATTCCTTCCCATCACCTCCCCAAAAACCTCTACAAAATTACACACAGCTATTAGGGCAGCAG